ATTTCAAAGCTGCATGGTCAGAGAACACAATAATACTAGAGCCTAACAAATATGAACGAAATTTATCTAATGCAAACACAATTGCTAAAAGCTCTTTTTCAGTGGTAGTATAATTTACTTGAGCGGCATCAAGGGTACGGGAAGCATAAGCAATAACATGAGAGAGTCTACCAACTCTTTGAGCTAAAACCGCTCCTAATGCATGGTTAGATGCATCACACATTAGTTCAAATGGAAGTGACCAATCAGGTGACTGCATAATGGGAGCTGTAGTGAGCCTCTTCTTTAATTGATCAAAAGCCTCCTTGCATGAACTATCATATATGAATTCTGCATCCTTTTGAAGAAGCTTGGACAGTGGCAGTGCAATCTTGCTGAAATCCTGGATAAATCTCCTATAAAAACCTGCGTGTCCAAGGAAAGAACGCACTTCCCGCACAGAAACGGGGTAAAGAAGAGAAGTAATGACATCTATTTTGGCTTTATCCACTTCAATACCTCTACTAGAGACTAGGTGGCCCAAAACTATACCTTCACTAACCATGAAATGGCATTTTTCAAAGTTTAAAACAAGGTTAGTCTCAATGCACCTGTTCAGAACTTTAGAGAGGTCATGCAAACATGAATCAAAAGAGGAACCATAAACAGTGAAATCATCTATAAACACCTCCATGCAACTCTCTAATAAATCAGAAAAGATACTCACCATACACCTCTGAAAAGTACCAGGTGCGTTGCACAGGCCAAATGGCATCCTAGTGTATGCATAAGTTCCAAATGGACAGGTGAATGTGGTCTTATGTTGGTCCTCTGGTGCAATGTGGATCTGCATGTAACCTGAAAAGCCATCAAGAAAACAATAGTGTGTTTTACTGATAATGTTAATTTTTACTTATATTCTAGTAGCAAATTGGTTAACACATTCAACTCTTTTCTAACTTTTGACTTTGTAATCTTCAATTTAACTTCTCTTTTGTAAGTAAAGACACTTTGGTTACACACACAGGGTTATAAAGATTTAATCCTCATTTTTTGTGACTTTTTGGTTAGGTAATCACGTGGGAAGAAGCCGTGTCAAAGAGAAGAAGCTCGATTGAACTCCAGTGAAGCTAGCTGGAAACTCCAGAAGACCCGCGCTGAGCCCATATTCTACCTCGCTCAGCGCAGTAGATCCAGGGGCGCTGGGAAAGTTGATATCGCGCTCAGCGTGCTCAACCTCTCGCCAGGCGCGTTCCGTTATGCGCCCGGCGCGTACCATTTCGCGCTCAGCGCGTCACTTAAAGAATTGCGTGGCTTGATATAACTTTTGGCGGAGCGCGAAAAGGAGGAGTCTTTTTGGAGGGGGAGACGAAGGTAGAACGGAACCAGGTCGAAGGAGAGAAGCTAGGGCTCATAATTTGACCATTGTTTCTCATTGGTTTTCTTCCATTCTTCCTCTTTTGATGTATCTTGCTATTCTCATGGACATGGATTGCTAAAAACCTCTTGTTGGGGTTAGATGTAGCCAACTTGACTCTCATGTAACTTGTTGAATGTATATTTATCTATCTCCTTCATTCAAATGTTAGTATCATGTTCTTGTGCTTAATGCTTGTATGGAATGATCAACTATTACATGATTTTTGATTGCTTTTGGTGTGGGAATATCATTGGTAATCTTGTCTGAGAATGTGGTACCTTGTAGACTTGTGTCTAGGAATGGAACAAGAGCTACTTGTTGTATGGAGCCCTTTAACTTAATGCAAGTGGATTTGTTGAACCATTCAAGGGATTGATATTTGATAATGAAACTTAGGCTCTTTTAACCAAGGAATTGGAATTAGAGAAAATTAGTGGGCTAGCATTAATGTTTGAATGAGAAGGAATGTTTTGTATGCATGAGATTAGAGTTGGTGAAGTCTAACCCTAACTTTTCACTCATATAGTCAAGTCCCAAAATTTGCATTTCAAGTGTTTGATGAAAGTCCTCTTTGAATCAATTTACTCTTTTTAGCTTAAAAATTACAACTCATCAAACATGAAATCATTCTTTAGTCTATATTAGCTTAAATTCCACATATTACCATTGTATTACTCAAGTCCTTTGGGGAGAACGACTATTACTTCTACTTACTACTTGTGCGATGGTTCACTTGCCATATTGAAAGAAATCGCTTAACACTTTCTTAATTCCGGTCTAAGTCCATCCTCAAATTTAATACACTTCATTCTCTCATCAGGGTGATAAAAGAAAGTATAGTATTTTCCCAATTCCTCAAACTTAGAAGCATATTCTCCCACTGTCATGTTCCCTTGTTTTAATTGCATAAATTCTATTTCCTTAGCCCTCCTAACATCATTAGGAAAATATTTTTCAAAAAATTTAGCTCTGAATATTTTCCATGTAAGAGAATATAGTAGATAACAGAACTTAGAGCTTCAGAGGTCAGCAGGCTGGCCAGAAACTTAATGGGCTGGCTGGAAATACTGCTGTAGGGGTGGGTGAGTGTGATTTATCGTAACTCAGGAGTGTTGCATGATGATGGGAAAAAAAACTAGTTTTTTTTTTTGTTTAGCTCTGAAAGGGAGGCAATATTGCTATTTTGCCTTTAATAACATCATTAGGAAAATATTTTTCAAAAAATTTAGCTCTGAATATTTTCCATGTAATAATTATTCCTCCTCCTTCTAATAGTCTCCTAGTACTATCCCACCAATATTCTTTTTCTCCTACTATCATAAACACTACATAATTTACTTTTTGGTTATCAGGACAATTCATGGCTCGAAATATCTTTTATATTTCTTTAATCCATAATTCAGCTTTTTCAGGATT